CTCTCACCCTCCCTCCCTCTCGGAAAGGGTTGGCAGCAATGACTTCTTCAGTCCAAGCCGTTTATTCTGTTTGTAATTTGAGGTATATATATATATATATATATATATACACCTCAAATTAATAACAAACAGAATACAAACAGAAATACATACAAACAGAACGGTGTATGTATTTTATTTTATTACTCCAAAAATTAATGGCCAATGCAGTGGAAAAGAGGAGAACTGAAAAAAAAGAACCTAAAACTAAATCACTTGCATTTCTTTAATAAATGCAACCTTCAACTTTGCACAATTCATTATTAGAAGCTAGGCAATCAAGAATGTTGCATGTGTGGGCAAGAGTGGCAGACTGAAGCTGTAATTTGTTTTTCTTCCAGGAAAGTTATGATGAAAGTTGCAAACCCACATGAGGCTGAGTCTAACCAAATAGCTGTTATGTTGAGTCCAACTAAATAGCTCTTAGGTTGAGTCTAACCAAATAGCTGTTATGTTGAGTCCAACTAAATAGCTTAGGCTGAGTCTAACCAAATAGCTGTTATGTTGAGTCCAACTAAATAGCTCTTAGGTTGAGTCTAACCAAATAGCTGTTATGTTGAGTCCAACTAAATAACTCTTAGGTTGAGTCTAACCAAATAGCTCTCATGTTGAGTCTAACCAAATAGCTTTTAGGTTGAGTCTAACCAAATAGTGCTCACATTTTGTTAATAAATTCACAAAGATGGACTTTGCCATTCTGGTGGTCTAACATCTCAACATAGGGCTTCAGATACATTTCTGTATGCATATGACGAAATGTCGTACATAAAGTGACACGGTAAGCAATCCTATGAGTCTATTTATTTAAAAAAATGACAGGACTACCATGAGCGAGCCAATGGACCCTTTTCACAGGTGGTCAACAGCAGAGTAAAGTAACTTCCTGTTCCTGTCATTTTAACATTAGGTCGGTTCTATTGATGTCTGTCGCAGCACCAGCATGGTCAGTGTATATTTACTAGACCAGTTGTGTCGATACCGGTGCACTGCCTTACCTAAATCGAACGGACCCATCATTAATGTTATGAGCTACACCTGTGTGTTTCCTACTGTAAAAAGGACCCACTAGAGCATTTAGCATCCATAGTGCAAGCTGGGTGACATTTGCTCTCTATGCTTTTCTTCCCACTGTATTTACAGATGGGAGTTCACATGCAGCTTTATAGGCAAATTCATGTTTCAATGGCGTTGCCTCCAGCGTGGCTTATACTCTCCTCGCTCTAATCACAATTAATGGTTTTGGGGCGGTTAACGTCATATTTTATGTCCTTGTGAAATAAATGTATTACAGACAGTCGACATACTATGAGGACATTTTCATCAGACATATTTATTTTGGTTTGCATCACATCCATTGCGTCATTTTCTTCACTGCATCATGACTATCTATCCTGGTGATTGCAGTGCCTGCCCCCCACATCAACCGCTGTAGAAACCATATGTTCACACAAACATGGATTTCATATTTTGATACCACTGCTTGCCTGTTAGAATCTAAAAGTAAATGTAAAATGTAAATGTTAGAAGGTTATTTCTGTTGTTTTGTCTGTTGTTTTCTGTTTATTGGATTTGAGTCAATGGAACAATTAGCCCAGCCCCGGTCACGCTTGAGTGTATGTGCGCGTGTGTGTGTGTGTGTGTGTGTGTGTGTGTGCGTGTGTGTGTGATTGTCTGAGTGTCTATGTACGAGCGTGCGTCGATATGTACGAGGGTCCTCTCCCACCACCACCACAAGACAGTAGCTAACTGGAAGAGCGCTGAGCTGCCATCACCATGGAGACAAGCGCACCCTGCACCTAACAACGCTATTTTTGGATTGGTGCAAAGAGCTTCGTTCTGTCTCCTCTTCCTTCGGCAGCCCTCTTTAATTTAATTTTCTTTTATGAGAAAAAAGGCAAAAACTAAACAGACAAGACGTTGTGTAACTGATCTTAAATACAGGCCTACCAGGGAGTGGCATGCTTTGTAAAGGCGTATATTGTGATGTCTTACCTGTGTGTGTGTGTGTGTGTGTGTGTGTGTGTGTGTGTGTGTGTGTGTGTGTGTGTTTGTATGCGTGTTATGTGTTGGTGTATGCAAGGATGAGTATACTGTATGTATAGTGCATATACAGTAGATTATTACACATTATCACAACCATTTAAAGTCATACATGCCACATGGTTAGTAATAAGTCATAAGAGGTCTTCTTTGCCATGTAGGTAATTCAATAGCAAATGCTGATTTGGGGTGACAAGTTGACAACCGTCCAAACCAATACTCTCAGAGTGGACAAAGTCCTCCTCAGACATCTGGACTCTGTGGACTTTACATCAGATTCTTGTAGTGAGCCAGCACATATTGCACACCCAGCCATCGTCTGGGGTGAGCTACCTTGAAAGGTTTATTTTTTGTTTTCCATAAGGTTAGATGGTATCTTCAATTTTGAATGTAGTCACGCAAAACCACTTAAGACTCTAATTTGGATGAAGTGCCTGTAAACACACTACATTGGCCTTGACGAGAGCAGGGTTGGCGTTGATAAGCAGAAACCCCAACAAAGGCAGAATAAGATTTCAACAGCATTTAGTATGCATCCACCATCATAACCCAAGAAGTTTTTCAGTGGGTCCATTTCGGATGCATACTGTGTGTAAGGGCCGTGCGCCTTCACCCCTTGCATTGATCTCCCCTTTTAATCTGTCGATTGGAAAACAAAGATGGTGGATGTAGCGATGTAATGAAATTATAGAGGGCGAGGTGGGGGGGGGGGGGGGGGGCGCCAATAACCCCAGATGAAAAAAAAAAGTCCCTCTTACTAAAGAGGGATTTTAGGAGATCAAAAGAGCTAATCAACAACAGATTTCAGGCTGCTATAGATTTCCTCTGAAGGCGAGGAAATGCACTAACAAGAACAATTTTAGACCAGAGTTTGTATAATGGTACTCACCCTCTACAGACAGCTCTCCTCTATACGAACATATGGATGTTAATAGGGATCATTGTATCTAATTTCCTATTTGTTTTTTTTTCTATGGGTACTGCAGATGTCTGGATATATAACACAGACTATATTGCTTATTCGTGCGTGTTACCCAGAGTTCAGCTCTCTCACCGTTTCTCCTGCCTATGTCCATAAAGATTCTCAAAATGGTTACATGTAAACTATGTGTTGTTGACATGTTGATGTTTTTTACTATGCTCTATGACTTTATCTTCTGTAGAACTGCAGGACATAGTCCAGAGTTTATCTTACTAATCTTATCTTATCTTATTTTATCTTATCTTATCGTGGAGCAATTGGGAGCCAAACCAAAACATAACTGTGTTCTACAAAACGCAAACTATTTGTGATACGCAGTTGGTTAAGAGTTAGTGGATTGACTATCTCTAAATAGCTATTCTGTTTATTGAGCAAAACAATGGCGTCGATGTCTGGACACCACCTTTAGTGGTCTAACAGCCTCTGCATGAAACACAAGGGAGATGAAGGGAGCGAGGAGGACTCACTGTAGCCATTGTCTTCCTCCTTCGTCCCATCGATGGTTCCGTCCGCCTGTAGCTGCAAGTGAAAGCCCTGGCGACTGTAGAGCTTCGTCACGATGCCCTTCAGCTGGGGTTCTGCGGACACACACACACACACACACACACACACAAGAAAAACATAGTAAAACAAGTGATCAGTGATACATTTTCCTGGAATCACAACCATTACGACATGAGTCAAGTCTGACCAATGGCGAGAGGCATTTCAGGTAATAGTTTGTTTCAGTGAATAACTTTATTTGTATTTAAATCCTAATCTCAGTGGCAGCTTGGTAACATGTCTTTCCAGGGGGAGAAAAATAGTTTTAGGCCAAGACAGAATTAATGCAGGTAAAAAAATATAGACAGTATATTTGAGAAAATGTGCCTTTGTTTGTCAAAAATCCACAAAAATCTGTGTGGGCGGGGAGGGGGGTTGGGGTGTTGCAGAACAAATGCTGGCAACGAAATGATCATTAAATAATAATAGATAAAGTAATAAACGTATAATGAAAAAAAAACAGACGGTTGATGAGTCAGCGTGTCGCGGAAGGAAACAAACCCGGAGACATCTTAAACATATAACACAGCGCCGCTAGAGCGTGTCACTCCCCGGTCGCATGTCATATCGTTGTCATCGATGTCTCGCCGAGCGCCACCCACTCTCTGGTCACCTAGCGAACGTATAGCTCTCCCTTTAGCCCTTTAGAGGTATTTTCACCACGTGCAACGTATCCGCTCCACTCACACACCTTTCAGAGGTGAAATGTATCCATGTTCTTAAAAAGCTGTTACTCTGTGTGTGCTGTCAATGCACACACCGTGGTTTCATGGTCACCATTAAACCCTAAGAGACTTGCAGAGAGTCTCACTGTAGATGAAGACAATAGAAGAACAAAGGAACGTGAAAGCTGGGTGGTTGTGTGTGTGTGTATGTGTGTGTGTGTGCATGTGTGAGTTGATACACACAAGCATGTGCATATATATACGCACACACATGGGCACACACACATGGGCACACACACATGTACCGCGAACATTCGATTAACACTTTTTCACCACACCAAACCACGTCTCCAACTGGAGTGTGAAGTGAGGCATTACACGTTGTGTTATATAAGACACACACACACACACACACACACAGAAACACACACACACACACACACACTCACACTCTCATGCACACACACAGAAACACACACACACACACACACACAGAAACTCTCTCTCTCTCTCTCTCTCTCTCTCTCTCTCTCTCTCTCTCTATGTCCTGATCGTGACTTCCAGAGGACATGAAAGATTTCCTGTTGGTTAGAATTGGTTAAATGAGGCAGTTAAATCAAATGAAGATATGATAAATACATTTGGTTTAGCAAGTCGCCCTGCACAGACTTGGATGGACTTGGATGCCCTGTCTGCATATAACATTATTAATATTATTAGAGTAACATTATGGTCCTGTCTAGCCCAGCTTGTAGAGCATGGCATTAACACTGCTACGGTTAGGGGTTGGATTCTCGCTCAGGACACCCATGCTAAGAATATATGCACTCACGGTATTGTGAGAGGCTTTGAATAAAAGTGTCCACCATATATTTATATTAAGTATGAGTTTGTCAAAAAAATCCAAGATCTTCTTTCTCTGTTCTGTGCTGAGCAGAGAAGGAGAGGGAGGCCTGAATACAGGTCATAATAGCACTTAAGAAAGCTTTCCTCCTCATTTATTCATGTTTTCTTTTTAGCTTTCAAGTTGAAGTAACGTTTGCTTTCAAGGACGACTTGGGTCCTTTTAAAGTGCCACAATGTGAAACTGGTACATCATTTTGAAGCTAAAATATATGCACACACAGACTGATCAACATATCTACCCTGAAAGTTGTGAGACATGTTTTAAAGGTTTAACATTTTTATGTTGTTTGTTTATTTTTTGCAAATGTTCTAGTGCGAATAAATGAATAATTATACGTATAATCTAGCCTACTATAAGCCTACAATTAAAGATTTCTTTAGAATGGCATTTTGGGCTGCCATAATATGTCATGGCAATGTGAAAACATTTACCCTAACAATAAGAACTTTTGACACGATTTTATTTTTAAAAAAATTAAGTATATGCCTCAGATATCATATCCCCCTGTCAGTCAGCCAATCAATCAATCAATCAATCAATCAATCAATCAATCAATCAATCACTCAATCAACTCTTTCTCTCAACGCTTTGGTAAACCACGACCAATAAAACAAACAGGGAGGACAAATCCAACCTCTACTGTGTTTGATTAGACACACATAAGCATTACAGTAAGACAAACATAGCCTACATAATTACACCACGATCGTCTAACAAAAAAACAAAAAACAAAAAACAAAAAACAAAAAAACAAAAAAACAAAAAACAACAACAAAACAAACCCCCCAGACCCCCCACACCCCCAGACCCCCCAGACCTGGCCGCCGCCGCCGCCTCTTCTTGGAGCCAAAGAGTTTGACGCGGGAAAAGACGCTGAGGCGGCTGGGCTTCTCGCACGCGCCCTTGGTCTTGTTGGGGCTGCTGACGCAGCGGCACGCGTTGCTCTTCTCCCGCTCCCTCGCCTGCCGCTTCTGCCGGATGAGGGAGCTGGCGATCGCCGCGGCCATGGCCAGCTTGGCGGTGGTCTGGACACCAGTTGTCCAGAGTTTGTCGTTCGGGATTGGAAAAAAAATGGGAAAAACGCGCGCCTGAGCGGAGGGAAAAAATCAGCCAAACGTCCGGTGGGCAAAACTACAAAAAAAAAATAAATAAATAAACTGAAAAAAAAGAAAGAAGTTCGCGCTAAACGTCGGTACGTCGCGTTGAAGTCACGTACGCGCCTTTCCGACGATTTCAATATCGGTTTTTGCTTTGATCGACTTTTTTTTTTGCGTTGCGTTGCGGAGCCTATCTGCGTGGGGTGGTGGGGGGGGGGGTGGGGGGATGTATGGGGGGTGTGTGTGTGTGTGGGGGGGGAAGTCGGCTAATGCGCAATAACGATAAAAGGCGCAAATGTTCCGCTCTGGCGTGGCACGGTCTGGTCCCCGCGGGTCCTCATGATGTCAGCAGCAGCAGCAGCAGCAGCATCGCCGAGACGCAAGTTTGTTTGAGTCCTCCTGAAGCCTTTTTATGGGATCCGACCCAACCTTGACGCGCACCCCCACTGGAGAGACAGACAGGCAGATTACCGAAAACGTCGTCCACGCACACGCACAAACACGCGCGCACACGTGCGCACACGCACACACACAGACAGACACACACCTGTTCGCGAACGGAATATGTGCACTGCTTTCAGTCTGCTTTCACTAATTCCCTGCGCCATCCGCTGCTGACAATGACGAACCAGGTTTTAAAGAGTGAATCACTAAGGAGAAAGCAGCTCTCTCTCCCCCCCCCCCACCCATCTCTTCCCCCCTCCATCTCTGCTTTTTTTTTTTTTTTTTTTTTGACTAAAGCTCAGCCACGCACAGTGGGAAGCGCGTCGTTTCAGATGCAGGAGCGCAGCATACGTGCGTAAAGCACAGATTCAGCTGCACCGCTTCTCACCTATAGGACCTGGCGGAGGAGAGGGAGGGAGGGAGGGAGGGAGGGAGGGAGGGAGGGACGAGTCGTGTTGGAGGGAAGACGACAGAACAAGAGGATTAGACCTAAACTATTTTGCTGTGTAGGGGGCCGATTGTATGGTTGTGAACTCAAAAAGTTTGAAACATTCTCCACCAAATCAATAAAGAGAGAGAGAGAGAGAGAGAGAGAGAGAGAGAGAGAGAGAGAGAGAGAGAGAGAGAGAGAGAGAGAGAGAGAGGGAGGGAGGGAGAGGGAGGGAGAGGGAGGGAGAGAGAGAGTATAGACAGTATGAACCAGTGAGGCGTCTATCGATTAAAGCCAAATCTATTGTTGTGTGACACCTGAACTCCATATTAAACTCGCGCAACCACACACCAGCCTGCGTCAAAATATCTAATCAACAACAATAATCAATAGGTCTGTCAATAGGTCAGTCTTAAGGGTGGTTTCCAAGATTTGTGCTATTTTCCAAGGGTCCTGCTGCTTTGCACACACACACACACACACACACACACACACACACACACACACACACACACACACACACACACACACACACACACACACACACACACACACACACACACACACACACACACACACCTCAACTCCAACCCCCACCCCTGTCCATTTGTATGACCTCGATCTATATCATTTTCTATTCTTGTTTTGTTTTTGTTAACCTGCATGCGCCTCCGTTCGCCTGTATAGCACCTTTTAACACAGAGATGTACTCAAGGTTGCATACAGTTCGTCATATTCTTTTGCATAAATCCATAAAGACCATCCATAAAGACCACCAAGTCGTCCTCGGTCGTGCCTGTCTTATGGATAGCCCAAACGAATATAAGGCCTATATGCCTACTAACTACACTGGTAATCACGCGGGAAACCACATGGTTTCTCCACGGGCCCCCACTTGCTATTCGTCAGCACCTCACCTGACCTCAGGTGAGGTGCTGCATGCGGTGGCCCCCGGAGAAAGCAGTCACCTCAACACACTCAGTAACAGCCTCCCCTCTACTGCCATCTACAGGCCTCGGCTCGCATTGCTTGTTCAGAGCCATTTTTTAAGGATCATTCAAATGACACGCGTTCAACAAATGACACAGACTCAATAGGATGGTTATTATGAGTAGGTTGCAATATCGTAAACATTGACAATAAAGTATGTAGCCCTATAAGAGGCCTACGCTTTTAAAAGTATGTTTTTAAAAACATGTTTTTATTAACATCAACTGCGGAATTGTGCTGAACAAGATATAAAAAGTTACAGAAGAACAGCAAAAACAACATTTTGGAGCAGCGTCGCCTAAACGTGGCGAGGTGCGAGGTCTCCAGCGGAGAGACCTCGCACCTCGGCGGACTTCAGCACCACGGAGAGCTCAGAGACAGCAAGTCATGAAGCGGAACCAAAACCTGGGTTTGCATGAGTGATTATTATGCAGACATTTTTTTTTAAAAATGCATGTTTACATGGCTAGAGAGAGTGCCTACGACAAGATGTAAATATTGCCAAAAGTGACAAAACCAAAAAATACATAGGCTACAGCGCAAAAAAAAAAAAAAATCAGTAGGAGCCTATATCAATGCCATCAATGTTATATAGATAACATCGACCGGCCGCCTACCTGATACAGACTTTCTCAAGGGAAAACTCATGATGATGATGATGATGACGACGACGATGATGATGATGATAATGCCTTAGCGGAGCCCAGGGTGAATACACAGCAGCAGACAGTTGAAGTGATCCAGCGAATAGTCGAAGGATGCAAGAAAGTTCAAAATATTGTCAAAAAAAAAAAAAAGACACAGAAAAACTGTCCTAGGCGTAGTAGAGGAGGCTCCTGGGCGGGGCCACACAGCGAGATCATTAAAGGACATTAGCGGTCCTCCATTATGACTTCTAAAATGCTCATTAAACATTCATTCAGTTGGGGCTGTTGACGCGAGGCGCGGCAGTGGGCGAGATGTGAATGCGTCCCGTTGGCGATGCTGAGGAAAAGTGATGGGAAACGCATGCGGAGATGGTGGGCTGCTTCCCTTCTGATGGGACGGAGAGGAATTGGCGCTCATGTTACAAAAAAAACATGTAAAACGATACGATAATGCGCCGGGTAAACCGGTTATACGGGCCTTTCTATTTGTGCGCTGAAAAAATAATATCGACTTACTGGAATGACAATGTGCATTCATCTTGGCTTTTTGATAACATGTTTTTTTTTTGTTGCTCTATGAAAGTGCGGGATGTTATATTTTACAAACCACACATTTGCTCGTGTAGTGTCTTGGAAACATATATTTTTTTGGGTAACACTTTAGATTAGGGACCACATATTCATACCATTAACAGTTGCTTATAAGCATATTGGCTTTTTATTAGTCATTATGAAGCACTTATTAATGCATTATTCTGCATGACCATATTCTACAACTACTAGGCCATTCACTTTAATATTAGAGTTTTCCCTCAATAACCTCCTAATTACTGCTTATTGATAGTAAGTTAGGAAGTTGTTGTACATAAATTACGATCTTAGCAACTAGTTAATGGTGAATATGTGGTCCCTAATCTAAAGTGCTACCATTTTTTGTTCAGTGCACACGGCAGAAATTAATTATATTTCCATAATAGCCTATAAGTCGGAAGCGCTACTCGTACAGAGAAATAGCTGACTGACTGACACGTGAAAAACGTCTACGTTTATGTTATGTTATGAAACAATTAATTTGCCCAGGGATCATATCCATCAATAATAAAAGCATTTTGCAAATGGTTGGCATTAAGTCTGGGGGAACACGGAGGTAAATGGTCCATGACTGTTTCCATTTATAGCCGCTAGATGGCGTGAATGCACTGTGAATGGCGGCCTCCTGGTCGAAGCACTGACTGTAACTGTATACAGTTGGAAACTCATACAAAAGTCTCCGACTACATACATAAATGAAGAAG